CTGGGCTGGCTCGAAAACATCCTCCGATTTCGCGCCATCATCGTCAATTCATCGTCGCGCTGTTCGGAAAGCTCGAATTCGAGAACACGGGGGACCCGGAGATGTGGGGCGAATTGCGACGCGACGCAAACCCCTGGGCCGAACGATTCCTGGAGGACATTCAGTACGCATTCGGGGTCCCAGAGATTTTTCACAACGCTTTCGGGGAGGCGAAACACTTGCGAATCGGCCGCCTCTTTGCCCTGGCGGTGTGTGAAAAAATGCATCCACTCGACGCGCGCGGGGTACGAGCTGTTAAACCAACGGTGGCAGCCCCTCCTCCTCAAACGACGATCGAGGCAGACAAACAACATGAGTACTTTGCACTACAAGAAAACAAGCCATGGACATGCGAACCAGACGACGGCGATGTGGAACGTGGGCTATTATTTGCAAGCAAGAAGGCACTACGCAGTCATATCATACGAGCGCACCACTTCCACATCCTGGCAGCAGTGCCCACAAACAACAACGAGTGCATCAATTGCAAGCAGGTGTTAACATGCACGTGCTCAGCATGGAAGCTACTAACAACATGTTACGATGATGATCTAACGCATATCGCACGGCAAACCAGCATCTTGAACAGCCTCACGCACCGCTGTGTCCGTTTTGTAGTCATTTTGTTCTTGACCGAGGTTGCTACCGACGCCTGTGCACGCGCCTCCCTCGACCGCTTCTGCAGCCGCCGCGCGATGTCCATATTCGACCAGAGGCCCCAGCCAGAGGCGACGGCGCACTGCCAGAGGGTGGGCCGCGGCAGACCGCGACGGGGGCGGCCAGGGGGGGCAGGCGGCGGCAGCGGCGGGAGGTGCCAACCAGCAGATGCTCGACATCACCGCGCGCCTCACACTGACCCTGGCACGCGAGCAGGCAGAGCTGGCGGCAGTCGTGCTACAGACCTGGGAAATCCTGACGACAGCAGGTATCGCTTCTGCGGCGCTCGAGTCAGGGCGGGTAGCACAACGAGGAGGCGCAGGCCCTGCACCAGCTCGCGCGGAACGGCGAGCAGCTCGACACAGGCAGCTTCGGGAATCCACGTTTCAGAGCGTGGGCAGAAGTGTGCGCGCGCATGGGCAACGCAGGGAGCCGCGCGCAAAGAGGCAGAGGAATGCTGCGCGGACGTGGTCATGGCCGCCAGCCAGAGCAATAACTGCGAGGGCATCGCGGACTCCGTGCCAGTGATCAGGGCGCGCCGGAATAAATGCAAAGAGGCGGGTGGCCAGGAGAAATGCAGGTTCCAATTCAGCTTCGACGAGACTCATCACCAGCTGGCAGTGACCCTGGGCAACGCTCTCAAGAAGGATGGGGCCGCGCGGAAGAGAGGCTCCGCTCCGAGAGGCGCGATGGACAGATAATTGGGCAGGATGCTGGACTAACCGAACAGGCCGCGAGTGAGCAGACTGGAGTAGTGCCAGGTCCGACAGTGCATGAGACACCGAGGTTAGACGCGCGCCAGTCTAATTCAGCCTCGGACGAAAACAGTGTTCGGATCGAGAGGGTTGGAATCGGAGAAAACCCGAGGACGATATCCCCCGAGTGTTTGAGGCCAGCGCTAGGTTCCGAGAGTTCGTGAAGAGCGACAGACATAGAACGCCCACACAGGACACGCCAGAAGTTTAGATTTCAAGGGCGGAGTTTGCCGAATATTTCGTGGTACGCCGTGCTCCTCCACCCCCTAAAGCGCCGGGAAGGGCCCGAACGCCCCCTGGCGTCAGTTCCCCCAGTCCTAAGTGACCACAGCCAGGCTGAGCAGTTTCGAAGCCTCACAGCGTAGCTCCTGTAGGCGTCACCTCGAACTTGGCCCCAAGGCTCGATCGATCGATCGATCCTCCTCCTCCTCCTCCTCCTCCTGCGCCTCCTGCTGTTTTTTCTCTTGCTCCTGCTCCTGCTCTTGCTCTTGCTCCTGCTCCTCCTCCTCCTCCTCCTCCTCCTCCTCCTCCTCCTCCTCCTCCTCCTCCTCCTCCTCCCCCTCCTCTTCACCCTGGACCCCCCAGGGCCTTTACCTTTACCTCCTCCTCTTCCTCCTCCCCCTCGTCCTCCTCCTCCTCCTCCTCCTCCCCCTCCTCCTCCCCCTCCTCCTCCTCCTCCTCCTCCTCCTCCTCCTCATCATCATCATCATCATCATCAGGCGCCCTCCTGGGGCAATCTTGGCTGCTCCTGGGGCCCTCTCGCCGATCTGTCGGGGCGACCGCGGTGCCGCAGAGCTGTCCACCAGGGCACGCCAGGGCGAGAGTGCAAACCACTGTCAAACAGCACATGGGTGGTGATCGCTTGTTTTCTCAACCATCTTGTGGTGTTTGGTCTTCGTTTTGAAGAGACGTTGCCCCGCGTTCTCCTCTTCTCCTCCTGGCCTTCCTCCTCACCCTCCTCCCTCCGCCCATCATCATCAGCATCATCATGATCATGATGATGATCATCATCAGCATCATCATCATCATCAGCATCATCATCAGCATCAACATCAACATCAACATCAATCACATCGTCATCATCACCCATCATCATCATCATCATCATCATCATCATCATCATCATCATCATCATCATCATCAGCATCATCATCATCATCATCATCATCATCATCATCATCATCATCATATCATCATCACCCGTTTCGCCGGTCGGCGCGGGCCCCCAAACCCCCGTTTCCCCCCCTGTGGAGTAGATCTTGGCTTGTTTTTGGGGGCTCCTGTTTCGAGCGGGTCGGGTCTCCCCCAGAGGCAGCACTCCTTTACAAACAGTCGCACTGAGCAGGGGTCTGGGGCCAGACCCCCCCCCTCCCCTCCCTTTCCGCCCATTGTCGAAACGCCGGATTGTTGCTGCTGTGCTCGATTGTTTAGACCTTCCTCCTGTGCTAGATTGTTTAGACCTTCCTACAGGCCTCCGAGGCTCACATATTCGGGGCTCGTTTCGATCTTCAGATTCGATTCGATTCGATTCCGACGGATTCCCATTCATCTTCGATTCGATTTTGGATTCCGGTTTGAGATCATATTTTCCAGTGGAGGCCTAGAAGCCTGCCGATGTCCGCCGAGTCGACTTTTCCCGGCTCGGCCGCCGATTTCCGTCGATCCGATTCATGCCGATCGCAGATCCGGCTTGTCGATGCGATGCTGGGCTCTCCTGCATCTTCGGGTGCCCTTTGCCATCTTCGGGTACTCCAGATTTCGTAATAAAAGGGAGGGGGTCTGGACCCTCCAAGACAAGCCATTTCAGACCTCCCCCGCGGGAGATCCCTCCAACACATCGTCCTCAGACCCCCCAGGCCCTCCAAGACAGCCTGGAAGAGACCCCCCCCCCCGAAATGAGACCCCCCTCCCTTTTTCTTACGAAATCTGGAGCATCCGTGCAGTCCACCCGGCCGTCTTTTGGACGCCCGGGGCCGCCTCGGGGCCGCCCCCGGACCGCCCTGGGAGGCCTTGGGGCCAGCGTGGGGCCCGCCACCCCAGGGGGCCCACGCTCATGGTGACGAACCAACAACACTCAGGAGGGGAAAAAACACACAGACACAATTAATCGGCGATTCCCAGAAAATATGGGAAAATATGGGAAGTGGGGGGGAAGACGAAAACCCAGAAAATATGGGAAAATATGGGGGATATTTTTATTTGTGTGTATTTATTTGTGTGTCCCAGTTCCCCTTCACAACAACACACACCCATACCCATAGAGGGGTCGGAGAGGGCTATGGGTGCGTATTGTCGGATGGGGGTCCCCGCTCGAACGGGAGCGTTCCCCAGGGTCCGACAACCCGCAGCCATACCCATGGCCAGTCCTCCGCCCAACGACCCCCCTATGGGTATGGGTGTGTGTTGCTCGTTCGTCACATGGGGGTCTTTCGCCTTGCTCTTCGAGTGCTCTCGGGGCGACCTATGATGGATACCCGCCGGAAGGATTCAGCACGCCGTCTGTCCGATGGGCTTGGGGATTTGACTCGGAGTTGGCGCTCCATCTCCTTTTTGCTGCTCTCTCTCTCTCTCTCTCTCTCAGGGACCCCCCACGGGGGTGGTGATCACACGGTGTGGTGAGTCGGCGGGGATTCGGGGTCACCGCACGGTTTTTGGACTCGGGTCCCTCTCCGAGGATGTCCCGGGCGACAGGGGCCTCCAGGGTCCCAACACCGTGCGGTGACGGATCGTGCGGTGAGGTCTCTCGGGGTTCCGAGGCCACCGCACGGTCTGTCACCGCACCGTTTCGGGACTCCCTCTCTCAACCTCCTCTCAGGGAGGAACACCGACATCACCACCACCATCAGCGGACCACCTCCATCTGGGGCGGCAAAGAGGGGGGTGATGACTACGGGGGGGTGGATATCATGGCGGGGGCCATGATATCTGATATTTCCCCAGATTTCATGGCGCCTCTTCTTATTTCATTACGCCCCTGGCCCCCCCGCTGGGCCGCGCAGATGCCGCTGGTCATGATTTGCACCCCCCCTTCTTGGACACCCCCCTCTTGGCCGCTCCCGACTCCAGCGAGGAGGTCCACGAGGCCCTCCCGTGGCAGAAATGTTTGCAGACGCCTCGAGCGGCGCCCCCCACAAGACAGAGGGGGTCGCGCCTCCAGGAGGACCCCTCCAGGGCTCCTCGCGACGGTAGTGGTGCTGCCGACGTTTCGTCGTTCGTCGTCGTCGTCGCCGTCGCCGTCGCCGTCATCGGTCGTCGGCGTTGTGTTCGTCGTCGTCGTCGTCGTCGTCGGTCGTCGCCGTTGTGTTCGTCGTCGTCGTCGTTGCCGTTCGGCGTCGGCGTCGGCGCCGGCGTCGGCGTCGGAGTCGTCGTCGTCGTCGTCGTCGTCGTCGTCGTCGTCGTCGTCGTCGGCGTCGGAGTCGTCGTCGTCGTTCGGCGTCGGCGTCGGCGTCGGCGTCGGAGTCGTCGTCGTCGCGCTGTCCTCCGAAGAGCCGTGTGCCCTCCCAGAGGACACGGGCCCCCCTCCCCGCCGCGCGCCCGCCCGCGGCGGAGGCGGCGCCGCACCTGGCCACCGCCCGGTCCTACTTCGAGCAGGCCCTGGCCAGAGCGCCGGGCGCACTGTTTGTCCGAGGGGTCGGGAGCATTGAGACGCAGTCGGCTACGCATCCGTCGTTGAAAGTAGGTATTTCTGGATTCCCAGATTTCAGTTTACTTTCAGCGCCTTACCTACCTCAATGATCGAGTGGCTTCACCTTTTCCGTCCCCCTCAGGGGGCGGGCGGACGCCCATTCTATTTTCAGTGCCTTCCTACTTCATGTTTCTACCTACTTCTTCCGAGCGATGGGTGCGCGTAAGAGGTCAGAGGAGGAAAACGTACCCACACCTCTACCCGTCGTCCGTTTTCGCCTCTTTGGGCCTCCTTGGGGGCCCTCGTCGCCACCGCTGGATTTTTGCCTTGAGACCCCGGCCAGAACGAACGCTCCCCAGGAGAGTTCCGGGGAGTAGCGGTGTCGGTGCCTTTCGGGTTCCCCAAGAGTGACGTTTACAGGAGGAACATGAAAAAATAGCAAAGTCTGGGGACGATTCTTCTTATACATTTTTTGATGATTTTTCAAAAGTTGTTGGCAATCTTGAAGATTTCGCCCAAAATCCTCCTGTAGGAGGACACGCCCGACCTGACTTAGTGCGGGCCCACATGGGGGGGCCTCCGTCGTCGCCACCGCTAGACTCACCTCGAAATCCTGGTCAGAACGCACCCCAGGAGAGGTCCGGGGAGTCGCGGTATCGGTACCTTTTGGTTTCCCCAGGATCTGGCAGGATCCTGAAAAGCCAGGGTTGCATTGGTTTGGATTAGAGCGCAAGAGCTTGCAAGATCTTGCAGGATCCTGTAAATCCTGACTGGCCAGTGTTTTTGCATGGACCCGATGCAGCATATCCCAGACGGGGAGGTGGGGGGCTCATTGCATTAGGGGGGACAAGCTCAGGGAGGGACGCTCATGGGATCCTCAGACATGCGACGTCCTGACTTTTCAATACGCGGGCCCCCGAAGTCGCGACCGACGTACCACAGCGTAACGTTATTGCTGTCTCGTCAGGACAGCCACTGCAATACTGGTCATGCTTCGGCGTACTGGCGGCAACAACAGTACGGGGCGTGCCGACATGATGTAACATCCAGCGAGCAAGCAGAACGTCAAGTACATGCTGAGAATGCCGAGGAACACTGCAGCGGAAAACTCTTGACGCTTCGCGTACAGTGGTTGCCCGTCTTGCCCTGCTCGACGCGCGCAACAGCAATTAGGTTGCTCGTAGCCCGAGCCCTCTCTGCTGACGCTGTGGGTGCCTTCGCCTGCGACCGCGAAAAAAGTACAATGGGGGCCCATGCCAAGAAACACCTTGCTTGTCTCCAGGGTGCCCTTGGTTTCTTGGTTTTCGATGGTTTTGCGATGGAGAGCGTGACGTTCCCACACCAAAAATCAATGGACGTCCTGGGGTCTCAGGGTTGGGTTTCTTGTTGAAGATCTCTTGTGGACTGGCCTCCACTGTTTCCCTCCCAGCCTATCCAGAAGCAGATCGCCAGGCGGGTTGCCTTGATCAGGGAAGTGTAGAAGCGTGCAGTGCAACAACCGCCGTGGAACCGTTTTCTCAGAGGTCTCGTGGAGCCGTCTTGGGGCTCTCTTGGGGTCCTCGCGGAGCCTCTTGGGGCAATATTGGGGCCCTCTTCGGGCTCTCTTGGGACCTCCTTGGGGCCCTCTTGGGGTTCGTTGGGGGTCTGGGAGGCTTCTCGGGGCCATCTTGGCCTCCATGGCTCAAAAAGAGGGCGTGGGTGAATTCAACTCCCCCCCTCGGAGGCTCAACCATGGCGTCGTAGGACCATCTTGGGGCGCTTTTGGGCGCTCATGTGGCCCTCTTGGGGCTCTCTTACGCCGCCTTGCCTCAAGAGCCCATCGGAAGCGACAAGGCGAGAAGGGCAATTATTCACTGCTTGGAGCTCCAACTGTGTATTTTTTTTGCATGGACCTGTCCGCCGTGAGCGTCTAGGCGCAAGGGTCTTCGAATATAAACAAGCTTGAGTATTGACGGATCGGGAGTGCAATTAATCGTGAATGAGTTGGAGTGTGAACGAGTCTCAGAAGTACGAGTGCGTCTCTGCGCATGAGTCTGGGCATGTCTAAGTTTCGCATGGGTGTATTTGCGCGTCAGTGTCCTGATCGTGACTGGGCGTGAGTGAGTCGAACTGGCTACGCTATCCCTCCTTCCTTGATGACACATGGGGTCGGGTTGCTCATGTACACGCCGTGCCAGAATCCTTGCGTTTCGTTTGCTGGCCCAGAAGATCTCACGCAGTGGCTGGACCGTGATACAGCCAGCCACGCGACAGAGAGGAGAGGTCCGCTCTATTGGAACATATGTGAGGCACCCAGGATTGGTGCCACAGCACCAAGGATCCGTGCCCCAGGGGATGCACAACCTATAGCAACATACGGAAGACACATGGGATTGATTTCATAGGAGAAGGGCAATCTATAGGAGCATACGTAAACCACCACGGATTCGTGCCGCATGTGAAGCGCAATCCATAGTATCAGACGTAAAACACATGGGGTTGGAGCCGCTCCTATGGTCTCTTGGGGCTTCCTGGAGGCTCATGGAACCTCCCGGGACCTCCTGTGGCCTCTTGCTGCCTCCTGGGGCCTCCTGGGGCCTCCTGGGGCGTCCTGGGGCCCCTTGGAACCTCCTGGGACCTCCTGTAGCCTCCAGGGCCTCCTGGGGCGTACTGGTGACTCTTCGTGCCTCCTGGTGCTTCCTGGAACCTCTTGGGGTCTCCCGGGGAGCATTCGTGCCCCAGGAGAGGCCCAATCCATAAGAACATGCGTAAGCCATTTAGGATTTGAGCCACAGGAGAGGGGCACTCTATAGTAACAGTTGCAAAGCACAACGAACCCATGCCCCCAGGAGAAGCCCCATCTATAGGAACAATTGTAACACACGCATAGGATTCAAGCCACAGGGGAGGGACAACCTATAAGGGCATACGTAAAGCACAAATAATCGACTTGGACGCAGACGAGTCTGTTCACCAAAACAGGCAAAGCGCCGAAGACATCCTCGCAATCTGGCCCCCCTGGGGTGCGACACCCAACGCCTCGCCCCATACATTCTCAACATCTGCTCCGACAGCTGAGGATGTCGGGTGAGTAAACAAGCACACCGGCTACGACGTTCCCACAATCTTGGGGCGAACGGCGGAGTGAGATACCCTTTGGCGGCTCCCCTTGGGGATGCGAAAACCAGAGCCTCGCCTGAGACACCCTCAACATCTGCTCCGAAAGCGGAGGATGTCAGGTGGTGGAACAGGCACACCGCTCGAGACATCCTCAGCATCTGGTCTGGACGCAGACGAGTCTGGTCAACAAAACATGCAAACCGCCCGAGGTTTCCTCAAACTCTGCCCCGAACGCTGAGGACGCTGAGCACGCAACCAGGCATTCCCGCAATCCGGGCGCGAACGGAGGAGCGAGATACCATTTGACGGCACCCATTGGGTATGCTATAATCAGCGCCTCGCTAGAGATATCCTCAACATCTGCTCTGTCATCACTCGGAGCGCAGACGAGTCTGGCCAGCAAAGCACGCAAAAAGCATGGGTCATCCCCAGAATCTGTTCCGAAAGTGGAGGATGTTGAGGAAGTAGTCAGGCAAACTGCCTGAAACATCCCCGCAATCTGGGCGCGAACGGATGAGTGACATACCTCCTCGCGCCCCCCCGACCCCCCTTGGGCGTGCGAAAACCATCGCCTCGCCCGAGACATCCTCAAACACTGCTCCGACAGCGGAGGATGTTGAGCATGCAAACCATCAATCTTGTCTTCCGGTTGCGTGTACCACCACGTGTTTTTTCTGTGGGAGTCGCAGGTCAGCTATGACACGCGTCCGCGGATGATGAAGACTCGGGGCCGTGGGAAGAGATTGAGGGAGCGGATGTCAGGTGAGGCGCGAGCGCAACTAGCTTGCACCTCCCCCTCCCCCTCCCCCTCCCCACCCCCTCCCCCTCCTCTCCCTCCTCGTCGTCCTCCTCCTCCATCTCCTACATTTCCTCCTCCTCCTGCTCCTCCTCCTCCTCCTCCTGCTCCTCCTCCTCCTCCTTCTCCTCCTCCTCCTCCTCCTGCTCCTCCGCCTCCTTCTCCTCCTCCTCCTCCTCCCCCTCCTCCTCGTCCCTCCTCCCCCCCTCCTCCCCCTCCCCCTCCCCCTCCACAATTACTCAATATGAAAATACTCTCCCTCTTCCCCTGATGGCGTCCGGGTGATGGCCGCGCACCCTCCGCGTATTGTTTTTTAACACACAGGATTCCCGGGAAATCCCGGGAAACGACTCTCGCTGAGGCGCCGGCGTCATTTTCGGGCCGAACGCCCCCCGCGTATTGTTTTCGCTTGCGTTTTTTTTCAAAATGATGCTCTCGCTGAGGCGCCGGCCTCATTTCTGCTCCCGAATCGTTCCGAATCGTGCTCCCGCTGCAGCGTGGGCCTCATTTTCGGATCGGTGTTTGGCCTCCGTCGTTCAGGATGGCGTTCTCGCCCCAGCGCGGGCCTCTTTCTCGCGCGCCCATCCGCCCGCCACCACCGCGCCGCACCACCACCACCACCACCACCACCACCACCACCACCACCACCACCACCACCACCACCACCACCACCACCACCACCACCAGCACCAGCACCACCAGCACACACCAGCACCAGCACCAGCACCAGCACCAGCAGCCAGCACCACCCACCACCACCACAACCACGCACACACGCACGCACGCACGCACGCACGTGCACCACCACCCACTACGCACGCGCGCGCGGAGCCACAGGTCCGCTACGACACGCGTCCGCGGATAGAGAAAATCAGCGCCATGGTAAGGGATGGGAGGGAGGGGTAGGACGTCAGATATGACGCGAGCGCACCTAGCTTGTCCTCCTCCCCCTTCCCCTCCCTCCTCCTCCTCCTCCTCCCCCCCCTCCCCCTCCCCCTCCTCCTCCCCCCCTCCTCCTCCCCCTCCTCCTCCTCCTCCTCCTCCTCCTCCTCCTCCTCCTCCTCCTCCTCCTCCACCCTCCCCCTCAGAAGTCTTGGGGGG